TCATATGGACTAGAATAATTTAATGGGCTTTAGGGTAAGGCCCATGTGAGTGGTTTGCGCCCAATTTGGAAAATTGGGCCATAGATGAGCCATAAATGGGCCTTTATAATTATGAGATATTGGGCCATTAGAAATGCCAAATGTGTGGACTGGACTAAATAATTGGGCCTTAGAATAAGACCATGTAAAGGTTTGGGCCCAATTTCGAAAATTGGGTCATATGTTGGGCTTTGACTCATAGTTAACTTTTGGGCCTTTGGATTGGGCATTGGGCTTGAATCGAGCTAAGATAAGGGTAAAGCAGTCTTTTACCACAAGCATGGACTTATGGGTATATGTTGGAACCCAATTACTGATTGGGTGTTATTTTGATGATTGACAGTTCGAGAACCTGTCATCCAGCAGCTAGAGTTTTGTCTACAGGACTTCAGCAGTGTGAGGTGAGTTACCTTCCAGTAGAAGTTGATCTAAGGCCACAATTCCGCCCCACTAGTAGGAGATGTTTGTTAGATGATTGTCTTTGTGATAATTGTCTGGTATGCCACTATCTGTTATGTTTATGTGTTAGTATGATATGCTATTATGTGGTAGTGGTATGGGTGAAATAGTCCCCCGATTACCGGTTAAAAGATACCGAAGGGGTAGGTCGGGCACCCAGATATGCCTGATAGTATATTTATGTATGTTATGCTATGTTCTTATGTGGTAGTGGTAGGGGTGAAACAGTCCCCGGATACCGGTGGAAAGATACCGAAGGGGTAGGCCAGCACCCAGATATGCTAGGCAGTTACCGGTTGAAAGATACCGAAGGGGTAGGCCAGCACCCAGATATGTTAGGCAGTTACCGGTTGAAAGAGACCGAAGGGGTAGGTCGGGCACCTAGATATGCCTGGCAGTATATTATTGTATGGTATGTGGTGTGATGGGGGAACTCACTAAGCTTCGTGCTTACGGTTTTCAGTTTTGGTTTCAGGTACTTCTTTTTCAAAGGAAAGGAGTCGGCTTGATCGCAGCGCATCACACTATGTTTTCCGCACATGAGATCTTTGGGATTACACTCTGATATGGTTTTATGATAATATGTTTTGATTATTGACACTTTGGTTTTGACATGAGATATTATTATGAATGTTTTTATACTATTTGTTTTATATAATAACTTAATTAAAACGAAATTTTTGGTCTTGAATTTTGGGATGTTACAATAACAACTATAAACATAAGTTGTGAATGACAATTTTGATGTAAATATTGTAACAAATAAGAAAACAAACATGGATTCACAAATTATTAACAGAAAAACTATGATTAGCAAAAATAAAAAACAAATGAGAGATAAAAATATTAAATTCACAACTTAACAGAAGAAAAACAATAAAAACAAAAATCTACACACCTTATGCACATATCTGTTGGCGTTTCAACAGAGATCTGAGAGAAAGAGACGGAGATGAGTTGGCGGTGTTTCATTAGAGAAACAAGGCAACAAAAGTGATGGCGATTGACGACGATTTTAGATATGGTCACTTAATCTCACTAAAACTTATAGATTTGGAGGTGTAAATTGTAGATTTAGAGGAAAAAACCATACATCTATCAAGGGAAATCATAGATCTGGACCAAACCACCTCAGATTTAATAAAAACAATGGCTTTTGAAGGTCGACAACAGGGAGCGACAATTGGTGGAGGAGGTGGTGGACCAGATCTAAACAGATTTGGTGGTGTTTCATGGAAATCGAGAGAAAAAGGTGGATGCGAAATGGAGATGTGTCATCGAAGCAACATCTTAGGAGATCTAAGGTTAAGATGGTGGATGAGGTTTACATCAGTAGTAGGACCGCCATTGGCGATGGAGTTAATTAACGAAGAAGATGTACGAGATGTGGATAGAGAGATGGATAATGATTGTGGGGAAGACAGTGGTGGTTGGTGGCAACGTCGGAGGTAGATTGGCGGTGGAAATGTGTTGGAGATAATAGGGAGAGGAAGAGATTGATATGTTTGGTGTGTGTGTGTGTGTGTGAGAGAGAGAGAGAGAGAGAGTGTGTGTGTGTGTGTGTGAGTGAGTGAGTGAAAGGGATGAGATTTTGTAGATCTAATGTTTTGATCTGTGGTTTTTAAATTTCATATCTAATAATGTGTTTGTGAAAATGAGCTTAGACTTCATTTTATTTATAATCACGTCATTCTCTTTTAACAATAGATGTACAAAAATGCTTTTTGTAAGAGTTACCAACATCTATTCAAAATAATTATTGTGTTATTGTATGCATAAATGTGGGCCAATCAATTTTACTTATTTTAAGTAAGTGATTATTACATATTATTGAATTAAATATAATTCAAAAATACCATCTATTCTAACTAGAAGGGTATCTTAGTCAATTAATATAGATTTAATAACGGAAATTTGTATATTTTAAGGAAAATTGCATATTTTAAGGGAAAATAGATTCTATTAATTTTAAAAATCTGATTGTATGGATGATAATTCTCCTAATTCGTAGCATTCTGACGGAATATGTTTATCAATATATTGAAAATAACAAATATGATTGAACCATACAAAAATACACATTCTGACATAATATATATTTTTATTTAATGAACTTCTTGAAGAATAACAAACTTTTTGGATACAAGTTAAAAAAAATTTCATTACATTCTTAGAAAAGAAAAAAATTTTATATACTATTCTACGAGAATGTTACACTTATTAAGAACAAAGAAATAAAATATATAAATCATTCTACCAGATTATACTATTACATATATTTTTTTTCATTATATTGTATATTATTCTGCTGGAATAATCCATTCTTTTTGGAAGATTGGTGGTCATTGTTCATCTTCATCCCATACAATGTTCATCTTCAAGATTCTATTCTGACAGAATCGGAATTCAAGATTCCATTCCAGTAGAATGTTGTAAGATTCATATGTACCATGTTTTGCTTTGATATCTCTCATTTCATTCCCAGCCAAGAAAACAAAAACATTCGTGTTCTTCATTTCATGTGTACCTGCAAATGAGAAATACAACCACCCATTGATATTGCTTAATCTTCTTTCCATGGCAATTTCAAGCAATAATCCTAGGGTTAAATGATCGACCTAACAACATATCTACGCCTCATCCCTCACCATCATCTAACAGTGATGTATAGATTAAGCCATGTATCAAGTAACACAAATAACGAACTCATAAATTATTTTTGTGTTCTTCAAGAATTTGAACATAAAAAATCATCACAACACTGATAATAAAAGTTGAAACTCCGCTGTCCACACCATGCATGATAAAAGGTTGGATCCACCCATGCTTACAATTTGCATTTTTCTGTAGGAAGTAAGATAATTATAGCATATGTATGATAATAGAACATGAAGGCTACTTAAAAATTACTTCTTCAAATCAACAACAAATATCATATACACACAAATAAACCATATAGTATTAAGAAATTCTATCAACACCAATGTATATGTAATAAATAAATAACTACTACTACACAGAAACTCATATTTGAACTAATTCCTTGTTACAAATTCTAAAACATCAACCCAAAACTCAACTGCTGGTTCGATATAAATCCAGAAATTATCATCAACGAACAATGGTTTTAGTGAATAAATGATCATTCTGGTCAATTTTGGGTACAAGGAGTCAACCAAACAACAGCACAGTGCAGTAAAAAGCTTAATCTATGATTTTTAATCTGTGTTTAGTAAGTAAATCATACCTTAAATCAAGCCTTACGACTTTCGCTTCCTTTCTGTTGTGTTTTACACCAAATCGTCCCAAATATTATGAGAGTTCGTGATCGATTCTTTCAAATCGACTGAAACGAGTAACCTCCATGACCTAATCAACTCCAACAAAGAAATCAAGAGTAATGACTCATTAACCTAGACAAAAACAACATCAACTAAACCAAACTATAGCATAATGAGATGATTACCTGTTAGCATCTTTGATATCATAAATGTAGATGAAAAGGAAACAGAAGAAAATGGAGATACAATGTGATCGAGAGAGAGATCAAAGATGAAGGAGGTGAACTTGGCCGGAGAAATAGTTGCGATCAATGGTGGCTACGTGGTTGGAGAACTGGAATGGTTTAACGAGGGGAGGAATACTGTCGCAGTTGATGAAGACGAAGGGTCTCCTCCCAAGCTTAAAATCAAATTAACATCCACGTTACTACCTCTAGAAGTGCCCTCCCCAGGCTGCAATCGAAACTTTCCTCCGTCATCTTCTTTCAATCATCTTCAGATCGATCTAAAGGAATCAAATCACATATATCTCTTTCTGCTCTCTTGATTTTGCCCTAATTAACTTTTTTGTATTGAAACAGGCCATCCCAGATTCAGTTGCAGGACTCATGAATCTCGAGGCACTTGATGTTTCTGCTAATCTATTTGAAACACTACCAGATGCCATCAGATCGCTAAAGAAGTTGCAGAGGGGGAATAGAAACGAGCTAATCGGAAGCGAAGAGGAAACGAGAATTCCAGTTTCAGCAAACCCACCGATCAATTTGAATGATACAAAGGATCGATAAATCTGGATGTGGATTTTAATAGGGTTAATAAGAAACCGATCCTAAAATAAAGGGACTATTTATAGAATTGATTTACCAAATTACTAAATTACCCTCATTGATTTATTTAATTATTTAATTTTTTATTTAATTTTGATTGACACACATTTATGCATACAATAACACAATAATTACTTTGAATACCTGAACCTAACTCTCTCTCTCTCTCTCTCTCTCTCTCTATATATATATATATATATATATATATATATATATATATATATATATATATATATATATAACATGATTTTCTATTAAAAAATAGAACAATAGTAATTGAATCCTTAAATATGAACAATAAAAAACTCTACACGTAAATATATATATGATACGAATATATAACTAAGGTTTTGTTGGGAAACATAATTCTGAATTTGAACCTGATATCACACAATTAGCTCGAGATTGGTACTCCTCTCTTTATGGTATCGATACGGGTGGATTCATAGACAGGTAAACCACTTGGATAATAACCCAAATCACAATTTGTTAACTCAAAAAGATCAGAGCTTGAATCACTATCTCCTCCGTCTTCATCACTAAACCTCTTGAATTCTTTGATGTCTTCTCTTGAAACATACTTATGCGCATGATGTTCTTCTTGTTTTTCCTCAAAAGTCTTTACGTTTTCCACAAACCTAGTTCCAAAACTCATCTTTTTTTCAGAAAGATCACTCTTGATGCTGAAATTTTCGATCTTGTTGAGGGTGGCATGGATGGGCATTTTCGTAATTTGACTTGGAGGGTGCTTGAGATCTGAATAGCTTCTGGTGGTTTTTGTGGGTGTGTGTACCATATGATAAGGAGGTGGTGTTCTAAAGCCTGAACTTCTTGAGGTTGAAATCAAAGATTTTGAATCACTCGTGATGGTAGTGGTGGTGATGATGCTGGAATTACTGTTTCCACTCGTGAAATGACTAATGCTACTCCTTCTCTTCCTTCTCCAACCACCAGGACCCTCATCTTCATCCTTGGTTGACTTTGTATTTGACTTAGACTTTGACTTCTTTGAAGACGTTTGGTTAAAGAGAGAATTCAAGAAATGGGCCAATTTCCCTCCAGGTGAGCTTGGATGCTTGGACTTCTTCTCATTGTTGACCATCATGGAATTATCCATCAACATGGCTTGCAAAGGAATGGAATTCTCTATATTTTTTGGCATGTCAAGACTCATTCTTCCCATAGGCCTTATGCAAAACTTTTGTGTACTGTTTCCGATAACCCTAGCTTCGCCAATGACGTTTTTACAGGTGCCATTAATGTTTTCAGTGGCACCTGAAAAATAACGAGCCGCCTCAAACACATCGAGCTCTCCTGAACCGTTCCTGTGTCGGAACGGTTCCTTGGGTTGGGATGTAGGTGGAATTTTGATGGACATTGTTGATGTAAAATAACGAACTTTGCTTGAGAGAGTATATACAAATAAGATCTAAAAGACTAAAAGCTACCCACAAATCCAAATTGTATTACTAACTCTTAATATATTGAATACAAGGTAGCTTATATCAACTTTAAGAGGAGTGATGAAAAGGGTGGTGCAATGGAATGATTTAGGATAGTGGTGGTATAGTAGATAAGTGTGAGTAAAGGTTTCTTTTTATAGAATTTTGTACCTCCTCAACTTGTTCAAGTCTACTGGACATCCGGTGGGTATTGTTTCCTTTTTCGTATTAACACATATTAAATAATATGTTAGTTCGGATAAATGAGGTTTAAAAATAGTTTAAGAAAATTTTAGCATAAATTCGAAAAATGAAGGAAAAGTCAATGAAGGGTAAATTTACAGAAAATTTAATAGCCTATAATTATTTCAATACTTTAAATAAATAGAAACAAATTATAATGCCCAACATCGTAATAAAGATACTAGTATATAATGCATGATGTACAAGTTCATGTTACAAATAGTGTGGTTGGCAAAGGCACATCGATAGTTGTGGATTATGGTGGTTTGTGTTAGGAAAAAAAGCTCCAGTAGAAGTGGAACAACCATGAGGGTTGGAGCGTAGAGGGACAAGTGGGGTAGAAACAAGAATGGAGAACAAAGGGTTTTCACATCATTTTTTTCCTTAGTGGTTTTAAAGCTTTAACTCTATGCTATGTGTTGTGGGGGCAGAGTGGCAACATGTCCATGGCATCGAACAATAACCACCGTGACTATCTTGTTTTAGCATTAAAATGACTTAATATTAATACTAAAAGTTTTTTTTGTCTAACAGTAAGGAGTAACTCTCTTAAGTTAAAGTTAATGGGTTTAAGACATAAATGATATTTATTAGTAGATTAATTTGCTGTTAAAAAAAACTGACTTAATGGTGATTACTTGGTATCAAACAATGTAAATAGAATTAATTGTGAGTATCTTGTTCTAGCATTAAAATAGTGTTGGAATTTATGACTATCTTATTCTAGCGTTAAAATGGCAAAATGATAATCACTTGATATTAAACACTCTAAATAAAGTTGACCTTGATTCGAATCCTATAAGATTGAAATTTGTAGACTTGTAGTGGTCCGCCTTTCGAAAGAAAAGATGGATTGATCGGAACTATAACACAAAAGAGGTGAATGGTTCCCTCTACCAATGTTTTAAAAACTGGTTTGAACCGGTCGGTCGAACCGGTTGGACCGGGAACCGGGAGAGGGAGCGGTTCAACTATCACCGGTTTTACATTGATTTCTAAACCGGATTGAACCAGTCGGTTTTTAGATAAACCGGTTGAACCGGTTAAACCGAATAAAAACACATGAAAAAAGAATCATTTACATAATAAACTTTGGTGATTTTTTTCAAATCTATTTAGTTTTCTCTAAATAAAAACATACGGTAAATGTTATAAATTCTTTTGATGTGTTTGTATTCATCAAAAACTATATTTCGTTTCGGTATTATACTTTATTTTCTTTTTGACGTATATGGATTGATATAAAACACTAAAACTTATGGTTATGTGTTATTTTAATGTATTTGGATTCATCTACAACTTATTTTTATGAGTATTTTTAATGTTTGAACTTGTAAATATCAAATTCATAATTTCTATATATATATATATATGTAGGAAAATAGAAAAAAACATGAAAAATATAGAAACCGGTTCACCTGGCGGTTGAACCGGGAACCGGTCACCATACCGGTTCAATTAAAAAACCGGTTTTTAAAACATTGCCCTCTACGACTCAAATGGTAAGGTCAATGAAAATCTATTTAAGTTTGTGTTAAATACTTGCTATATTAGAAAGTTGAAATAAGCAAATGTGTATTTTATAAATAATTATGGGTACGAAAGCCAGACGTATACTTTAAGAAACTAAAATCTAGAGAAAATCAAGATTAATTATTATGGATGCACTATATAAACAAAATAATTAACAAAAAATGATGCTTACACTTATTATTTTTTAAAATATTTTGTCTGATACTCTTTTGTACATCTTTATATTTAAAGTATTTTTTTAAAACTAGTTAATCAATTAAAATGATTATATGATATTCAACACATTTATTAAACTAAATTATTAAAATATAATATGATTTGAACTAATCCCAACTGGCCAAACTAATAAATAAAATATAATTTGATTTGACTTAAGTAGTAAATTAGCCGAAAATAATTTCGACATATACCTACAATGTTCAAGCTCATGTTATCAACTTGGTTGAACTCGTATCTAGGGGTGAGCAGAAACCGAACCGAAACCCAAAACAACCGAAATAACCGCATAAACCGAAGCCGAATAACCGAAACCGAAACAAAAACCGATGGTGCGGTTTTTAATTTTGAAAAACCAAAAAAATTGCGGTGCGGTTCGGTTTTATGTTTAATAACAGCACCAAATTAACCGAAATAACCGCAAACCGCATAATTTAATAAATTATTTAAATATTTATAATAATTATATTTAATTAATAAAATTAAATTAGCTAATCGAAGGAATGCGCATCTTTCATTGACGAAGCGGGACTCCAAAAAGTTGAATCAATTCGTTTCTCACTCATTCGTCATTTCCTTTAGTTTTTGGTGTGTAAATGGTTGTTAGTAAGTGTTAGACATATTATTAATTGTTTGAATGAAATGAAATATGCTCGGCTGGACTCTTTTCTCGTATGCCCGAAAAATTCAATTTTGGTACAACTCCGATTAATAAAATGCAACTTGAAAGAATAAAAATGGACCAAAATTGTGATTTATTTGCAATGAAAATCTAGAAATAAATAAAGTCGACTAAATTTTTTGTTTTGAACATGAAAAACCGCACTCTTTTAACCAAAAAACCGCACCACCTCATTTTGTGGTTAAAAACCGAAACCGCAAAAATAACCGCAAAACCGAACCGAATCAGAACCGCAATTTTCGGTTTTTGGCTTTAAAAAACCGCAATTTGCGGTTGCGGTTGCGGTTTTATACAAAACCGCACCGAACCGCACCATGCTCACCCCTACTCGTATCAAAGCCAATAAATTTTGACGGCTACCAAATAATTTGTATCATCTTACCATCTCCAAAGCGTGTTTTTCTATAACACAAAAGAAAATAAATATATTATAAATTCACAGCTTTTAATATATATACCGGTAATGTTGATTCGATTTGATACTTGGAATTGACTTTCAATCAAATTTAGTTTTCAAGAAATCGGGAACGGTACCGGTTTTGTCTCACGTTCATCCCTAGTGGAGCCACAACTAATTGCTTTTATAATTTTCTTTAATAAATAAATAATAATTAAACAATTAAAATAATAGATAAGGGTATATATATGTCATTTTAAGTCGGTAAATGACAAACAAAGCAACAAATTTGGCATTTAAGAACTCCACAAGCAAAATCCGAGTTAGGGACTAAACGTTCAATAGCACAATACCACAAGGACCATTCACGTAATTTACTCTATTAAATATTTAAAAAATAGTTGCGGCTCAAAATCAATGTTAGGGTCGTGGGTTATGATGGTTGCACTTAATGCGTGAGCCAGTGTGTGTCCACACGTGATGAAGGAAATGTAGGACCTTTCTTAATTGATGGTTTTTGTCATTTATAACTTGGAATAGTCTTATTCTCAAGGTCTCGACTCTTTAGCCATCGAACTGAAGTGTCATACTCACCTTTCACCAATTTTGGTTCATTGATCACAATGTTTTGTACTTCATGCAATAAAAGTGGTATATCAGATTAGTTTTAAATCCAGATTATCGAAAATTGTTCTTGTGAAGTTTCACAATCTGATGTTACTACAGAAAATGTTAAATACATGTAATATATATGTCACTAACATATGAGATGATGTTTCAATTAAAGCATTTATGTGGATATCAAATTTCGGTGATATTGGTGTAAGAATAAATAGGACAAGCACTAAGGATTCAAGATAATGACAATCACCATTTGAATTTTACATCTTACATAATTTACTCTCTATATATAATACGGGTTTCCACGACTTAAAGAATCAATATGTTGTAAACTTATCTTTCGGCGTTTGTTTGTATATCATGTTATAAATTCATATGACTCATTTCTATTTCGGTTGGTGTTGTTTTTATAAGCTAGATAAGTTGAATTTTGAACCTATCAAATGTAGGCTAGATTATAAGATATTTATAGTAATTTGATAGTTTTAAAAATCGTCTTAATTTGCTAAAAATGGAAAGATTGTTTTGTTTTAATATATTTTTTTCCAAAACGACGACATTTCTAAGGGGAAACGCCTAGCGAGTCATTAGGCAAACATGCCAAAAAGGCTACAAAAGACCAAACATGCTTGAAACACCAAACAGTCCAACTAAGGTTGGCATTTTCGATCTACACTTTGTTTTAATACTAAAAATATACAAGATTTGTAATATGACATAATACGTAATGTCTGTATCTTCTCATTATAGACTAAATAACATAAGAATAGCAAAACACGATATCAATAAGATATCATGAAATAATTATATATAGTTTTATTGTTATAATAACCTTGTGATACCATATCTCAAGTAAATCAAGTCGGTTAATTAAAGCACACCCATTTTAAAACAAGATGTCGAATCGATTCTGAACCAAATCAAATCCCATAATGACAACCAAACAAACCAATGCTTATCACAAACCCATAATGGGCACCCACATTGCCACCCTAGTCTAATGTTGCCTACTAAATCATGCTAGACATTTAGATATGCAACAAAACATGGTTGGTTCTACTTCTTTCATCAAAATATGTTTGGTTGCTTTCTTTTACTACGCACCATATATGCTAAAGTCACAATTCATGGCCTATATTTTCCCATGAGTCTAACTCCATTTGTTTTGCTCTTGGTATATTTGTATCAATCACTGATTGATTAGGCTATTCGTTGTGATTAGGGTACCCCCATTGTTTTAAGGA